TTTTAATTTAATCTCTGGAATTAGTTTATATAAAAACAATTTATTATAGTTTTACTGACTTCAAAGCTCCAAATACAAGAGGTGTAAAAATTACGGTCTAATTACATTTTTTTAATTTAGGGATAGTTTCCAAACACAATAATTAAAGTACCTACTAATGTACTAAGCAAAGAAATAAAAACATTAATCTACATATCACATCACGACCAGGAATACAATATTTTATATTTAGATTATACATTAAAAAACATGTTTTAAATTATATAATTCAAAAGATACTTATATTCTAATTGTATATTTTAAAATACCAAATTGAAAATGCTTTCTAAATTATATATTTTATAATACAAAATTTATATTCTAGATTAAACAATATGAGATACAATAATTTATGAGGGTGCAGAAAGAAATATATAGAGATGCATTAAGGAACTGCCAACATGGGATGGCACAGACCAAGAAAGTTATAACATTCTTCCTACAGTATTAGAGGTGAGAAACGTTTTACACTGTACCAACTGCTCCTACAACGCCCTGAAGTCTAACAATAACTATCAAATGCATTTGGCCCAAATAAAAGAGGTTATAAGAATTCTTAGTCAAACATTTCAAGTATAGAGTGTCATCTATGGATATTTAGATTTTGGAGCAATGATGACTCCGATTGAAGTATTTGGATTTAGTTTGCAAATGATGGCAACATCAAAAAATACAAACGTAGAACAAATAAAAAGGAAGATTAAGGACATGATATAACAAATATGCAACTCCCTAGACCATGGAACAGCTGCAAAGAGATCATCTAGCCTATTATTAGGTCCTCGGTTACTTTACAAGATAACTGAAATTTTAATAAATATGCATATATTGAATCTACTAATTAAAAATTTCCCTTGAAGGAGAATAAAAAAGCATGTCGTCATTAAAACAGACATTATCCATACTGAACGGCCAATGTTGAACCACCTGAAACCTGAAAGTTCAAATCAGCAATTGATTCAGTTGAACTCCTATACTCCAGCCATGATTTGGCTGCATCCTTTGTAACCAAAAACCAGCCAGCCTTATCTGGAGCCTCATGGAATGGAGCATTGAGTTCCCTCAAATGTGATTCACATACACTAGCCAAACCTTTATCTGAAACATATTTGTGTTTTCCGTACCCAGTGTTAACTCCAAGTAGAGGTGGAAGGTCTTCCCCTGATTCCAATGCCTTAGACAAGTCATTTATCCAAACATTTAATGCGGTCATAGCAGCCCCAACTGAGAGTTTCTTTAAATGTAAAGACCACTGATTTTGAGATCTGGATTGTAAATTTTTATATATCTCAAGCTTCAATCCTAAGTCCAGAAGGTCACGTGCTCTGTTCGGCTCATTCAGACGGACACAAAGATCAATTAGACAATTGCATAAGGGCTTCTTTACTTTATCATCAATTGAATAAAGAAGTTCTGATATTTCCTTTCTAAAATTTCCATCATCCTCCTTCTCTTCCACCAAATATCTTATTACAGAACCAAGCTGTGTATTAGCCTTCTCAATGCACTCTATTATCTTACCAAGCTCTTCTTTTGGGGTTTGAGTCATAACATTCAGAAGACAACAACAAAATTGAACATCGGGAACAATGTCCAAATCCACGAGTTGCTTAAAAATCTTCACAACATCATCAATTCGCTTAGCTTTCCCATAGCACTGGACAAGTGAGGTCAGAACATAAATAGTAGGCTGAAATCCAGACTGGACCATTTCATTCAACAATCCTTCTGCTTCTGAAACCATCCCATTGCAGGAAAATACAGTAATTAAAGATGAAAATGATAAGCTATTAGGCTGACAAGTCCCCGAACTTTTCATGTCTTCAAAAATTTCAACAGCTTCATCTATGCAACCAACATTAGCACACATAGCCAAGAGCCTGTTATAAAGATCCACACTCAAATCCATTCCATGCCCCTTCATTTCCTCATAAACACCGAAAGCACCGTCACTATATTGTGCTGCAGCATAAATTCGCAAAAGAGTAGAATAGGTTATAAAATCCGGTAAAACCCCATCAGTTACCATCTCTTTATATATATTTTTGGCCTGCCATGACCTCCTAGCCCTGAACAAGCCACCCAGCAGTGTGTTGTATGTCACCACGCTAGGCTTCACGCCAAGGGCCTTCATTTCCTCGAAGATTCTCAAGCCCTCATCGTACTTCCCTAACACGCCATGCATCTTAATCAACGATGAGAATGTCGATGCATCAAGGGTCCATCTCTCAGCTTTTGCACGATCATACAAGCTCAAAGCCATATCAACATTATTAGTTTGCGCATAAGCAGACACCATAGCCGAGTACACCATGGCATCGGGTTCACACCCGAAACTCGGAAGCTTTTCAAACCATTCCACGGCTTTATTGGGCAGGGAACACATCCTAGCAGAGTTAATCAAAGTCGAAAATGTAATGTTATCAGGTTTGACCCCTCGTTGAATCATTTCATCGAACAGCTTCTCTGCGCCTTCAAAATCCCTAGACTTCCTAAACGTCTTCAGGGTAATGTTAAAGAGAATCACCTCGGTGTCTCCATAGGGTTTAATCTTGTCCAGGAAGTACCTGAGAACAAAGGGCGCGGTAACAGAATTCACCATCTTGTCAAGAATGAACACAGCGTCACTTTCTGAAACATTGTCTCTTAGACCCTTCAAAATTGTGGATACGTGTTGCGCGGTGGGAGTGCACGAGTTCAATGACTCGGCGAGTCTGGTGAGGTAAATGTACCTGGAGCTCGACGATTTGGTTCGGATGTGTTTGGCTCGGGGGCTGCTGGGATTAACCCAAACGCGGCTTTTGGATAAAGACGAGGAATTTGTATCTGGGTCGCGAGAAACAGCGTCTTGGTTTGGCGCGTGGGCGTGAGGGTGGTGGAGAGAGGCTTTGGAGATAAGCGTGAAGCGTTCGTGGGTGACGTTTGAGAATACAAAATTGTGCAGAGAAAATGAAGAAGAAGAAGAAACAGAGAATGCAGAGGGAAAAGATTGATGATTATGGAAAAGAAAAGAGTGAGAGATGCAAAAATGTGAAGCCATTCTGCTTGGTTATTCAGATACAGAGAAGTGTATGCGCGAATGTCATGGCCTGTCAACGATGGCTGTATCTTTTGCGCGCTTGGAGAGTTAGCAGGGACGAGATCGAATATATTACTGTTTAACCTAATATATTTAAAAATGAAAACAAAAATGTCATCTAATAACTTATCGATAAACTTCAATAAATTGCATAGATTATATCAATTAAATATAAAATAGTTTAAAGTAGGATAAAATATTTTTTTAAGTGGCTAAAATAAATGTCTGCCAGTTCTTTTTTTTAAGATTTGTTTTGACTTTTTATTTTACAACTTGGATTGATGTTATTTTAATTTAAAAAAGTTGAATTATAGGTAATGTAACATATGAACCGATGGGCAGGTAGTCATCCGGAGACTTAATCAATCACCAGTGTTTCTTCCATCTTACCTTTAAGAGCATGAGAGTACGGTTACTCGCGTAAAAACTCACTTTGCGCGCAGTTATGTGATTATCGTTTTGTCATCTTGAAGTAATAAGGTTTATCGCATAGACGGCTGTTCAGCACCGAACGATCGCTAAGCCAGGTAGTTAAAATAAAGGATTAAGGTAAATTAGGATTAGAGCTATTGGGCTGAAATTGGGTCATGATTAACTTTCACTAATCCCAAACCCATAGTAAAAAACTATAAATAGAGTTCAGAGGTGAGTGATAGCTAGGTTGCATTCACTGCACATTTATTAATGTTTCATCGAAATATGCACATTTATTTATGTTTCATCGAAATCGCCATTCCGTACTAACTTTGGCATCGGAAAAGGTGAACGAGAAGACACCAGACAACAAGAGTTATGAAGGCATTTGATGTTATTTTAATCTAAAAAAGTTGAATTATAGTTAATGTACCATATGAACCGATCGGCAGGTAGTCATCCCGAGACTCAATCAATCGCCAGTGTTTCTCCCATCCTACCCTTAACAGCATGAGAGGGCGGTTACTCGCGTAAAAACTCACTTTGCGCGCAGTCATCTGATTATCGTTCTGTCATCCTGAAGTAATAACGGTTTATCGCATAGACGGCCGTTCAGCACCGAACGACCGCTAAGCCAGGTCATCGAAATCGCAATAGTTTTCGTACTAACTTTGGCATTGGAGAAGGTGAACGAGAAGACAAATTGTGGAAGCGAGACCAGACGACAAGCGTTATGAAGGCATTTGGTAACTCAGTCCCAAATAACCGAAACCGTTAGAATTAGAGATTTGTTGCATTAAGTTAATTGAGTTTTCGATGAATTTTATTAATTGATTATTCAAAAATTCTATATTTTTAATTATAAAGTTTATTTTTTTTTATTAAGCAGTTGGCTTATTTTTTCTCGTTTTAATTGTTTATTTATAAATACTAAACAGTGATTAATACAAAAATAATATTGTAACTAAAGTACAATAATTTAATGATTTTTATAGTTTTTAAAAATATGTTAGATAACGAATTTGTTATATTTCTTAACATTATTAGTAAGAATTTCTTTGTTAAGATAACCAAACTGAAAAAATTAAACTATAAATACTCAATTTAAAATATAAAATTTTGTAAGATCCAATTGAAAAAAATAGATATTTAATTAAAAATAATTAAAGTTATGAGAGATTTAAAACTTAACTAAACTTATAAGAATATACAAGATTTAAAAATAAATAAATAGATCACACATGTAATTATAAAAGATAATTTATTTTTATTAAATTGAAGCATAAAAATATGGTTGAATAAATGCATTAGATTTATGTTGTAATGTAAACATGGTTAGAAATGAAGAAAGGGGCATAGTTTTATTTGTTTAGTTGAAAACGTGAACGTGGGCTTCTGGCAAAAACACTTGGAGATTAATCAATATGACAAATTCTGGAGAGAAAATGTACTCCAAACTACACTGAATGTTTATCTTTTCGGGAACATCTAATAAAATTGGAACAATGTAAAGAATATTATAGCATTGCCCAGCTTGAGGATGACACGCAGATCGATAAATAATCCATATATTGAAACATTAACTTAATTGATTAATAAAATATTATGGTAATTTAAAAAATATTAATTATTTTTATTTTTGTTAAAAAATAAAAATTTAATTTAATTAAATCTTAAAAAATCACTTATAACAGATGAAATAATAAATTCAAAAATATCACATTAATAAATGAATTTTAAATTTAATCAAAATTAATTTATAAGATAAAATTTGTATTTATTTAAATATTATAAATTAGTTTTATATAATTGACGGAGACTTTCAATTACTGAAATTAAATACACATAATTTACTTACATTTATAAATTATTTTTACATTTGTGTTTATTTTAATTTGAGAACTTTTTTCTTATGAATTAGTTTATTAAAAGATAATTTTCATAATTACAAAATTCTCGACGTGATATCAAAGTTCGCAATTATTTATACTTTTATTATATTTATTACTATAGTTTTTAAAATGTATTTTATTTCATATTAGTATTTTGTTGCCTGTTATAGTGGCATATTTACATTGGATGTTTGTATTTGCAGACAATTTGAAGTCTTCTAAATACCATATGTGCAATTTTTTAGAATTTTAAGATCATGATTTTTCTTTTAAGTGATATTTGATTAAAGTGTGAAGGAGGAATTTACATAACAAATGTAACTTTCACATATTTTATCTCTTCCAAAAAAATTAAGCCACAATTTTATCAATTTGTACAAGGTGTCTATATAGTTGTTGATTAATATGTTAAAATTTTCTCACCTAGAGTTTCTTGTAACGTGAATTAACGAGAAACATCCTTCAATATAGGTTTTTTTTTTTTAAGTTTTTTATCCTTTAGTAAATTTTGGTTGAGTTATAACAGGAATTTTGTATGAACATTTTCATATTTAGTTTAGAAAATTTCGTCTTCATCTTTAACTTGGATTAGTTTGTTAGGTTTAATCCAGAGGAGGTTCACCACTAAGACATAATATCACCACTGAGAACTGAGTCTAACCATGTAAATGATTGACATTACTCTCTACCTAAAACCTCAAAACAACAGATTAATCACTAGTAAAAAAATATCGTATAACGTCGTTGTTTGTGGGCCTTTCATGTCGAATTTGAAGTCGACGTCATATCACGAGACCTTAAATTGACCTCGAATTTTGTCAATATTCAGTGTTAATCAATTTTTTTTTTTGTTTTTTTTAATGAATTATGATCTTTTTTACAACTCTACGAAACTTGAAAAACAGAAAAACAACAAATTTCAGTTTTTGATATTTTATAAAACATAAAATATGAACTAGTATAATATCAATAACAAACAACAACAAACAAGTTCAACCAAACAACAATAACAAACAAGTTCAACAATTCAAAACAACAAGCAAGTTCAAAAAAAAAAACAACAAACAAGTTCTTCAAAACGAAAATAAAAAGTAACCTTCAAAATGTATGTTCTTCAGAATAAAGTGTCGTCACCCATAAAAGATAATGGGTCTTTGAAGGAAAAAAACACAAAAGTAATCGATTAAAAACAAACTAAATTCATTTTAATTTCATTTTAACTTACTTAAAATAAAAAACTTTTGTGATGGATTTTTTTTGTCTAAAGATAAATTTATCCACAAGTGTAATTAACGCTACATATGACACCTCTAGTTGAGTTTATGTAATATACATAGTTTCTAAACTATCAAATTAAATTAAACAAATATTTTAATGAATAAAAATAATTTATTTACTCAATAATATATTTAATTTTTAAACTAATACCAGTGTTTCTTAATATGTAAAATTGTGGAAATAAACTTCATTAAATTAAAATAACTTAAAAAATAAATGTTAAATATTCTTATTTTCACTCTTGATAAACTGATTTTCAAGAAGTAAAATACTATCAAACTCTGCCTACGTCATTATCACACTACAACATTTGAACGATAATTGCTGTGATGTGAACAACGTGACGGTGCCGACACGATTCTTGGTTATGGCTCTGTGGACTTGTGATTATGTGTGATCACATGGTGTTCGTATCTCTAAGCACTACTTTACATCTATTTAGTAATACTAATTTTTTGTGAACATATCTGTCCAAAGCATGTGATGATGCAGGTCGAAGAAACTGACAAATTTTGGTGGCATCGTAGCTTCGAAAGAATTTACAAAGAAATAATCATGATGCTTAAACATTAAGATCACCCTATAATTGAGATTTGGTTTTTCATGGTGGGTGCTCCTTTTATCCATTATTTATTATTTATTCATACTTACATTACCTCATCATGCATCATGCGATTAATTCAGGACCCCTTTTCCCCCACCCGATTGCTACTGCTCTTGCCGTGGAATATTCTACATTTCATTTCCTTCATATTTGTAACTCCCACTTAGGTTTATCATCATTCTACATTCATTTTTTTGAGGTTGATAGAGAAAACAAATCACGTCAACAAAACCTTTTTATGTGTATTGTAATAATACCCTCAAAACCTTTTTTCTTTCGTGTGAACAAAGTTGTATGCATCTTTTCAGTATCTGGTTGTACACATTCAAATTATGTTTAGGTTCATGGATCTAATCAGATGGGAAAAGGGCAAGGAAAAAAAGAGACATGGTTGTCAATTTGTCCTCGTTATCTTCACAGGTCATTCATCATTTATCACTAACTACTAAAAGCTTATCGACAACAACAACAGAAAAGAAAAAACTAATAAATCTCATAGGAAAAGCATATATAATGTAATAAACTACAACAACTTATCTAGTGTAGGTGTTTGTTTTATCTATCAATTATTAAAAAAATGTACGAAAAAAAATAAATCGTGTAATCTCGTCCTTATTATGACCTTACCCACCTAAAAAGTACTAGTGGTGGGTGATATTGGTTAGAAAGTTATTCACTTCGAGGAAAATCAATTTCAAAAGGCAAATCCACTTCCAGAGACAGATTCCTTGTTGGTAAAGAAACCTTATTTTATTAACTCATCAAACGTAGAACAAAACATGTTGGTAGTATAGCATTTATAACATTTAATTAAATATCCCTTATTTTTTTCCCCTCCCTCTAACACCTTTGAATTTTAATCAAGAAAAACAAAGAAATAGTTCAACATGATGAAACGGAGACGAAGTGAAAGGGCACCATCATTTACAGAGCCAATAATGCAATCACATGACTGTGCAACCTGAAGGGTTCTCGTCGCTGAAATATTGCTCACCACGGTTGTTCAAATAAGAGGGCCTGCCACCACCGTAACTGTCATAAACGGGCCTTGCATAGTACCCGTCGTAATAGTTCATGGGCCCACCGTATTCGTAGAAAGGCCCAACGGGCCTACCTTCATAGCAGGGAGCAGGAGCATAGAGCATCCCAATTGGAACCGCCATCGGTGGTGCTATATGTGGCTGAACGGGTAACGCAGCAGGTGCCGGCTTGTCTTTGGGCTTTTCCGCTTCCTTGGGTTTTTCGGCTTCCTTTTTGGGAGCCTCTGCTTTAGGCTTTTCCGCGTCTTTCTTTTTCTCAGGCTCAGACTTAGGCTTCTCGCCGCCGTCTTTCTTCTTCTCGGGCTCGGCCTTGGGCTTACCGGCTTCCTGTTTGGGAGCCTCAGCTTTAGGTTTCTCCGCGTCTTTCTTTTTCTCGGGTTCGGGCTTGGGCTTATCGGCCTCCTTCTTCTTCTCAGGCTCAGCGGGCTTGGGCTTGGATAGGTCCACTATCTCAATGCTCTTGATGGAGCCTCCACCTTTGTAGCAAAGCTTGTCCCTGATTTTCTCGGGGCTACAACACACCACCGTAATGAACACCATGTTTGCCTTCTCATCGTATTTCTGGTCCCGAATTTCTCTTGTTCACAAAATTTCAACATCCAAAAAATCAACTCAATTTGATTCCCTCCTTAACGTTTGGCATATCCAGAAAATAAATGTATGCAAATTGCAAAATTTATCGTGATTCTAACGTATGGATAACACACGTAGTAGAGAAAATTAAAGCAAGTGATGATGAACTCACGAGGATACTTGGCGAGAACTTTCTTAACTTTTTTGCAGCATTTTCCACACTCAAGGTCAACCTTGAGTTTCATGACAGTCACCTGAATTAATGCGTTCAATAAAAACCACCCATCAGAACTATAGTACCCTATATGTATCCAAAGAGAACCAATCTTACAATTGTGGAATAGAATAAAGAATGGCACCATTATGCTACAAATTCAAGCAGAATTAAAGTAGGAATTGAAATCACAATTTTAGTTCGTAAACAAGGACATTATGTAAAGGACACTAATCCAGAAGAAAGAGTGATAATTGAGATGGCAATGAAAGCTGCTTACCTTTTCAGCCATGGTTGTGGATCAAAAGATCAGATCTGAGGCCGAGATGAAACGCAGAGAAAAGTTATGAGAGCAGCAACACAAAGGAAATGACAGAAAAGCAAACTTAAGAAGGCATTAGCAAGCCACGCGAACCAATCAAACAGCAACACGTAATCCAACAAAGTTGAATTTCATGGTGAGGTTTTATCGACACTTTTGAGAGGGTGGCCAGAAGCAGAGGATATGTATGCTGTTAATACTTGCAGTAACACAAGATTGATGGCTTTGCAATTCAGCACGCATGTGCTATCTTTGAATGAGACACCCAATCTTGTTGACTCAATGCACCTTCCTCAATCCCTATAAATAGCAATCAATTAAATGCCATACACTGTGTATGCGTATGGTTAATTTTAATACTATTAGAATTATGGGTTTTATGAGTTTTGTTCTGTGCAATAATTATCATGCACTACCTCGTGCCGACCGTACACGTGTCTAAAGGAAAGTGTCTCACTCGCAAGCGTAATGAAGCATCTATAATATTTGTTACACAAAAGAGATCATGGTCCATTCATTGGTGAGTAATGAACATGAACCAACCTATGGACGCATATCATGTTTGGAGGGTGGAATTGAGTAAAGCCACCACTACCTAATTAATTTGTTTGTAGTTTTGTAGTTTTGTAGATGCAGCGGGAGTTGAGAGTGGTCCAAAACGGTGGGCTCCAATTAGCCCACATTTTTCTTCCTGGCACTCAAACCCAATCATACCCTCTAACTGAATTCTGTTCATTTCTTATGGTTTTTGCTTAGTTACAACTTTTGTCACAGTTTTCTAATGTTAATCTTCTATTGGAAGGAAGATTAATTTTACATTGGAGGTTAGTAGAGTCATAGTGTGGGACCCTTCTGTTAGATATTCATATTTTGTTGTGGTTGTCCTCATTATTTTTGTTTTGATTTTGATGATTGTATTTTCTTTGTATCTAATTCATAAAAGGTTCCATCTAAGGTCACACGGAACATGATGTTTTTGGTTACAATCTCTCAAATTATTTATTACACAATCAAACATGATGCTTATATACGTTTCGTAATTGATATTGGATGTCCACAAGTTGATGATGAGTTTAAATGGTATGGGCTTTTGCTTGGATGATTTTAGTGCCATCCAAAATCTTGTTTGCTACATAAATGGAAATTTTGATGCTACATCACTAGTTAATTAACTATAGTCGAGTTTAATGAATATGCATTGTTATTATTATTATACAATTAGAATTTAACTTTGATATGAATTTTCAATTGAAAAAAGTACACTAATTTAATTTGAAAAAAAAATAGTAGGAAAAAGAAACTAGTAATTTTTCAGATTTAAAATCAATTCAATGTAAAAATTCATTTTTAAAAACACGTTACTGACTATTAAAAACTTACAGATAAAATTTGGTTTGTAAATTTGTAATATCTTTTGAAAAAGGTAGGGGGTGTTGCTCCCTACACCACCACACCTTTCTCCCTCCACCTCCCATTTACTATTTTGCCCCTAAGTAAAATTTTATTTTTAGGGTTATTTTTTAATTTTATCCATTCACAACCTATTCCACTAATAACCTATTCTAGTGTCCCGTACATGAGTAAAATATTTTTCTTTCATTTTAACATTATATTTCTTCCTCTCTTTCTTTTACAAGTTGCAAAGGTTGGTGGTGGTGGAAAGAATTATCAAGCAGTCTCCCTCTCGTGGTGCAGTGTCGCTCTCATAGTGCAGTGTGTGGAGTGGTGCAGTGTGTGTTGCTTCCTCAAGGTGCGTATTCAAATAAACCTTCAAATAAAACCCTAAAATAAAAAACGTAACCTTTAAGACATCTTCAAATAAAACCCTAGAATAAAAAACGTAACCTTTAAGACATCCTTCAACGGATGTCAAAATCCTTCAACGGATGTCAAAATCCTTCAACGGATGTCAAAATCCTTCAACGGATGTCAACATCCGTTTAAGGTAAAACGGATCCGTTTTAACTTAAACGGATGTTGACATCCGTTGAAGGATGTCACCTCTGTTTAAAAGTTACGTTTTTTATTTTAGGGTTTCTTTTATTAGTTTATTCTTTATTTTGAAAATATTTTAATAATTTAATTTAAATGTTTTGATTTATTATTTTTGAATATATTTTTAATGTATTTGAATAATGTAAAGAAAATGAAGAAGAAAGAAACAGAGAAGGAGAAGTTAAACGGAGAAGACAGATTGGGTTGCAGAGTAAAACGAAAGACAAATTATTAAACGAAAATGAGAGATGGAAAGATTGGGTGCAGGAGTAAAGTAGGAGAACTAGATTTGAAATAAATTAAAATAGTAAAAGTAAAAAATTTTAATCTGAGGATATAATTGAAATTAAAATAAATTAGGGAGGTGGAGGGAGAAATGTGTGGTGGTGGAGGGAGCAACACCCAAAGGTAGGTTTCGACAAATAAATCAAATCCAACCCGTAGAGCCAGAAACGGACCAGCCTTACATGCTAAAGGGTGTTACTCCCTCCACCACCACAACTTGCTTCCTCCACCACCCCATTCCCCTTTTACCCTTTTTTTTATTTTTTAATTCCTATTTTACCCTTATTAAAATTTTAGGGTTAATATTATTTAAAATCTCACGTACATTCATTCTCTTTATCATTCTTCCCTCTTTCTCTTTATTATTTTTCCCAGGTTGTCTCTTACGTTCCACTATCTTTGGGTTGTCTCTCATGTTTCACTTCTTCTTCTCTTTTATAGAATTGTGACGTGAGAGTGTGGTGAACTTTGTGTTTAGTAAGATTGAAAGTGGGGAAAGCAATTCATCTTCAGCCGTGACTGTGATGGTGCTTCAAGGTGCTGGTTCAAAGGCGTGAGAGGGCGTGAAGGTGCGTAATAAAACCTAAAATATAAACCGTATAATCTTTAAACGAATGTGAGCATTCGTCAACGGATGTCAACATCCGTTTAAGGGAAAACGGATGT